CCCTCATTGGGGGCTGAGCCCCCCTAAAATGAAAATCCTAGAATCGCCCCTGTCTGCATCTCCTGCGCTCCATCAAGCCACTTCCATAATATCTGTCACCACTCAAATTAATGCACGACTCTACATTACTCATCACAGGCAGGCACAGCACTCATTTCAGCATGTGTTTGTGTGTGCTGTCTGCGTCACTCATATCACGTGCCTATATCCTGCACTATATCGAAAATTGTTTATATCGTTATCGAAGAAGGTGTACCGTCGATAAATATCGATACCGTTTTATCGCCCAGGCCTATTACCAATTTACTTTTTTGTCATTTGTATTACTATAGTATTTTCTTACAGTAACAACAATAGTTGCTCATACACCTGACTGTGAACTGCACTGCACTAGTGCACTAATGCATGCAGCCAGTCTGATGTGAACCTTTGAAAAGCATCGTGCCACTCATTAATCTTTAGTAAATCTTGAGTCATTGCATTGTTTCTGGCGGCTCTCCACTTGAGTAGTGGAGTAATCGTTAGTAATTACCATCACCATATTGGTCTCCACATGATACCATGCTCGTGGGCTTCTTTTGTGCAGCATTATACAGTTTTTTGCCTTGTAGATTGTGTGCTTACTCTGTGTTAGTCTGGCTGTTAGTCAACACCAATACCGTGTAAAAACATCTATTCAATGTCAAGGGTGTAACCTGGTATGGAAAAACTGCCCCATATCGCCCAAAGTATAGTTCATTTCCTTTTTAAGGGTCCAAATAAGCTAGCTTCACCCATAATTGTATGAACAACTACAGCAATAATATTTTTTTTTCTTTTAATGTGTTGCAATTTTTTGTGCATGTATGAAACGGATGCTATTAAACAATTGATTGATTTGTTTGTCTTGGATACCTCTCTCTCTCTAACAAATAGTATAACACACACACACACATATAAAAGCTCTATATGTGTGACAAGGTGCTATAAAATGTTTAGTATGACATATTTGATGCTGGTGGTAATTTTGCTGGTCTTATGCAGTTCATTATAGTAATGCAATATATGCAATATTATGTTTGACATTTAATGTAATTTTGCTGGTCTTATGCAGTTCACTATAGCATTTACAAATATTTTGGTATTGTGTTAGGTCACATGATGTAAAATCTGGGTCCTGCATCAAAACCAGTTTAGAAGCACTGAAACACTGGAAAAAATTACTGTAGTGAACAATGTGATATAATATAACAGCCAGACCACAAGTAAGCAGATGTTACTGGAAGTCCCCATGAAGCATTTGTAGGGAACAAGTATAGGCCAGTTTTACAGTGCGTAAGGCACATGACAAGCCCTTTCATTTCCGAGATTTGGCCAGATTATAATTTATGCAATATCGTGGACATCTGGCATGACGCAACACATGATGCAACTTGTAGGACAGGTAGCGTGAAAAAACCCCCCAAAAACTAACCATTACTCTCCCTCATTGTCATTCCAAAGCAATATGCTATTTTCGTTTCATCTAGAAATACAAAGCGTTCTTTGTAACGCTTCTCTAAATAAAAGCATTCAGAGTGACCACGACAGTCAAGCTCCAAAGAGGTACCACACATTTATTTGTGCAACTGCATACTGGTTTGGAAAGATATAAAGGGTGAGTAAACAATGATGGAATATTAATTTTTGGCAGGAGAACATGATAAGATGAGGTTGCACA